AAATAAATATTATTTGATAGAAATAATCGCTTATTTCAAATAGAAGAATTAATTTTAATTAAAAAACATAAAATAAAATACTTACAAAAAATTTAAGTCAATAACCTATACACCGTTGAAGTTTCGAATGTTCTGGAGATATTAAACGTGCAAAAATTAATTGGTGGTCTAAAGAAATTCTACCAAGCTTTATTAATTTAACTATGGAAATAATTAGCAAATTTGTTATATTTATTTAATAATATGTATTATGAAAACAGTAAAAAAATAAGTCGAACGTTATTGCAACGAGTGATGAAAATGAATAAGAACTGAAGTGCCCCCATATCCCTGATAGCTACAGTTTTTCAGACCAACCAAGTTGGTGTCAGATAGTTGCCACCAACTTACCGACAACTTGCGGTCAACTTCCGAATTTGAAACTGTTGGCGTCAAGTTGGCTACAAGTTTCTGAGAGAAAAAAACAAGACCATTCTACTGCCGCAATATGTCGCCAAATTTCTCGAGAAACTTGTCGTCAACTTGGTGCGAAAGAGTTTCGAAAGCAATTTCTGCCGACAACTTAATGAACAACCGAGTTCATTTCCAAGACTTGGTGACAAGTTGCTGCAGCAAATCAACGGAAAGTTGCGACCGGTTTGGCTATCAGGATTATCAGGATAGATTCTGTCATAACCTCTTCGGTTTGAAGTCGGCTATAAATGTCGACAGAATCGATTATTGCAATAATCGAACATGTTTAACAATTCACTACGTTTTCATATTTAAATACATATGTAAACGAAATTAATTCAATTGAGTTGGGAATAAAAATGGGTCTGAGCAATGAAGTACTAACAGTAATAAAAAATGTTATTATAATTTTTGAAAAGTGGTTGTTGTTCTTAAATAAAAAAATTAAAAGTGAGAATTTTTTTAAATATTTTTATTGTAAAATATTATTACAAATAAATTAAAAAAAATGTTTCATTTGTACAAAACTTGAAAAATTGTTTGCGCAATTTTTAAGAAATAAGTATTTATTAGTTTTAATTTAATGAATAAAACAAAATTAAAAACGTCGGCTAACTTTAGTAGTATTATAACTGAGTTTCATTATTAATTCAATTAGATTTTAATTAGTTAAGTTTTAATGAAAAATATCCTCAGCAATGCAGTATCTGTATTTTCAATAAATAACTAGTCGAAAAATGTGTACTTGTTAACTACATCTTTAAGTTCAGCATCAATAAAATAACCGATTACTTCTTTCACGCAAAGATAAGGTAAATTTTTGTTTAAAAATTTAAAAATTGGATAATTGTTAACTTTGTCCAATAATTTTTTTCTGACGAGCGCTTGATGAAACAAGTTACTAATTATATCTGCAAATTGAGGAAACTTTGAAGCATAATTGTCTCTTGAATTCAAAACCGTGAAAATTTGTGAATTGTTCAGGAAATTAATTCGCCGGTTCAAACTGGCTTTGACAAAATTGTAGTAAGTTATGTAAGGTATCGTGCTATGAATTATCCTTTCTTTCATCTTCTTCACTTCTTTTTCATACTTTTCTTGATGCTTGAATGGGTCAGTCAATTGATTGATTGCAAAATCATAATTGCTGTCATCGACAAATAAATCAAGATATTTTAGTTTAATGATGAGATAGCCATAATAATTAACAATCTTAGTAAGACTACTTTCTTGAAAGCCATCGAAGTCTTCGCAACTCTCATCATCATCATCGGTATCAAAACGCGACTCTCGTATTTTTTCATCTACAGTATAATGAGAAGCTGAATAACCTTCATTACACGTAATGTTTATATCGGCTCCATTTCTGACTAGACCTACGATAGACTTAAATTGGCGGTATCGAAGCGCTACATGAAGTGCAGTTCGGCCTTTGTGATTTCTTAAATTAACATCAACATAATTCTTGATGAGCAAATCAATACAATTACCTGAACTATGACGAGCAGCGGTGTGAATAAGTGGTTCTTTTAACTTGATATTGTTGAATATATTCAAGTCCAATTCATATCTCAAGCGATCCTTTGAATTCAAGCTTTTGATGTACTGAAGAAGAATAATCAGCTTACCTGTTTGGTCAAACATGGCACACCAAAACACAATGTGTTTCGCAGCATCTAGGTCCAGCCGTAAATTGTTAAGTCCTAAAAGATAAGTAAAAACTTCATAATCTTCATCATCCGTAGGAAATGCTTGGGAAATTGGCGTTTCCGAATCGTTAATCTTCAAATGTATATCAGCACCACGTTCAATTAATAATTTAACTATATCTAAATGCTTATATGTACAAGCAAGCTGTAAAGTTGTTTTTTCGAATTTATCATTATTGTAGTAGATTCTCTCGACGTAAGTCTTATTAACATCAACTCCGCGATCAAGGAGCTCTTTAACAATGTTCAAATGATTGTTAGCAATAGCAATATGAATTGGATAATAACGTGGTTTGGATTGGCCAGCCACTCGTTCTATATCAATATTAGCTCGATTGTCAAGAAGAAACTTGAAGATTTTAAAATCACCGACCTCACAAGCTGTATAAATAGCTGTGACACGTTCTTCCCCGGATTTGTCATAATAATTCACGTCGATTCCACGATTTAAGAGACTTTTGACAACTTTTAACTGTTTTTTTTCAATAGCCAAGTTTAAAAAATTAAAATCACCCATCGATTTTTCAAGATCAATATGAACCCATTTCGTTAACAATTTCTTAGCTAAATCAATATAATCTGAATTAATAAAATCTAACAGTAATTTCAAGTAAGTACTTTTGTTGATATTACTTTCAGATATATGATCGACAAGTAGTTTTAGTACGGGAAAATTTTTCTTCTGCAATGCTACATCAAACACATTTTGCCGCAGTGAATTTTCTCTGTTCATTTCAGCTCCTCTCTGTAATAATTTTTTAATAATTTCAAGTCTATATTTTGACTCATTGTTAATCACTGCCCAATGCAATGGCGTATTTTCATTTCTTCCAAAATGATTGTTAACTTGAACGAAATTTAATTCTACAAATTTTTCAGCAAAAAGATCCTTTCTGTTTTTGTACGCGATACACAGTGGCCTATATCCATACAACCAACACGGAGCATCAAGTGACTTTAAGTTACTCACAACCTCTCCAAACTTTTCTATATCTTCATTCACAATCGCGAACGTTATATCCTTGACTAGGTTTTCTTCATTAATAGCTTCATCCATTTTGTTCCTCGATAATCTAAAACATATATTATTTAATATAAAATTATCGCTCATTTCAAATAGAAAAATTAATTTTAATTAAAAACCATAAAATACTTACTAAAGATTTATAATCAATAACCTATATATACACCGTTGAAGTTTCAAATTTTCAGCAGATTAAACTTTTGGTGACAGTTCACAATTTTTTATACAATTGTATAATTGAATTAATTTAATTACGCAATTAATTAGCTTGTTACATTTATTTTATAACATATATTATGACAACTGTAAAAAAAAATAAGACGAACGTTATTGCTGGAGTGAGGGGGAAAAAAAATGAATAAACAACTGAAGTATACTTTCAGAGATTCTGTTACAAACACTTCGGTTTGAAATAAGAGTGATAAATATCGGCAGTATCAATTATTGTTTGAAAATCGACTGCGTTTTCATAAATATGTTTACGAAATTGATTCTTTATGAGCTCAAAGAGGCTGTTCTATGCTTTTGAGCCCTTCGAGCTCATATCTTGCGTTTGACATATCTATATTTATTAATTTATAATTGTGTTAATTAATTTAAAATAATTTTTATGATATATTTATTTATTTATTTTTATTTAAATAAACGACCAAATTCATGGAGAACTAATTGTGAGCAATATCACGTCGCTGAATTATTTATTTTATTTTATTTTATTGGCGGTACTTTTATCTCGGATAAAATTTTATCCCGGATTGAAAAAGTCACCCTAAATGGAGCAACTAATTTAGCACCACAAATAAATTTTGTTGCTTGAATAATAAAAGTCAATGCATGACGGACGAGTCCATGCTAGCTTGATAGACCTTAAAGTTATAATTGCTGTCATCGCAAAATAAATTGGAAAATTTCAATTTATTAATGTGATAGACATAATGATTGACAATTTCATGAAGATTATTTTTCTGAAATGTATTTAAAAATAAAAATAATAAATTTATGCATTAACATTATTTTTTTTTTTTAATTTACATTTTCATTATAAAAAAATAAAATACATACTGAGAATCCGTAACAGATAATTCATAAACCATTTAAGTTTAAATCTTATAAATCTAAAGCATGATGACAGTTATACAATCTTATGTAATTAACCAAAGTACAAAAATAAAATTAGAGTCTTTAAAAAAACTCGACTGAGTTATGGAAATTAAATTAGCTGATATCTATTAATTTTAATATTTTTTTTTTCATTGAAAAAATTATTAAAAACAATGTTTTACTTGTAAAAAAAACTTTAAAAACTGTAAGTGCAATTTAAAAAAAATACTTTTTAGTTCTAATTTAATGAATGAAAAAAAAATTAAAAGTTTAATTAATTAAATCATGTACATCAACAATCAATTTATTTAATTTAAATTAAACAACTCTCCTAAATCCCGGTAATTAAAATCTAACAAAGAAAAACAAAACACCAGTCGGACGTTTTTAGAATTTAGAATGAAGAAAAAAATGAAACCGAAGCGCCCTCGGCGACTGTGTCAGCAACATCAATTTTTTTGGACGCTTACACATGTGACAGTACTCTAGTACTCTGCCCAGTGACTGTCATACGCCAACGTCAGGTGTGTCAAGTTCAACAATAACAACCATCCAGTCTTGCATTTATCGTTCCATAAAATAATGTTTAACTAATAAACTTAGAGCTTATAAATAAATTAATATGTTAATAATTTTTAAGCGATAAACATAAAATATGAATTATCAATTAATGATTCATGTTTAAGTGAAGATATTAAAAATAATTGATAATAATGTGGAGGTCTAAGGTGATCACTGCCTCAAACCGCATTTTTCCCGGATTAATATATCACGACTGGGAAAAACAATACTGGGATGCCGGTAATTAATTAATAATAAACATGACATTAAAGTTAGCAGTCACTTAACAATTTGTTAATTTTATTTATCAAAAAAATTTACTCCAAAAAATTATTTTTAAAAAATTGTATTTTTTATTTTTTAAAATTTCTACATGTCAATTTTTTTTGCCAGAATTTATTTGAAATAAAATTTTTAAAATTAATTTTCATATAATAAACTCGTTTAATTTTTTTATAACAAAAAAATGAAAATTAATTCAGCATATATTTAATAATTTTAAGAATTTTTTTGTTAAATAAAATTAAAAAATTGTTAAGTGACAGCTAACTTTAATGTCATAGAAAAATATAATTAAAAAAATTGTTTGATTGCAGGGCACCTGGTAAAGTCAAATTTACCTCTTCAAATGGCATTATATTTTGATATATGGTTCTTTCCGATTTGGTTTTTTATAATTCTCCTAGGATTAGATGCAAAGGTACCTATTTACCGAGTAATTACAATGAATAACAGTTGATTTATAAAGTTATTTTAATTTAAAATTATTCGTTTGCAGTATTACAATTTAAGTGGAGTATATAAATTCATAAATATCAGCGTTTATTTATTGATTACATGCATCGAATGTCTTAAATTATACCTAGGATATCTAGGTAATTTATCTGAAAAGGTATGCACACTAGAGTTTATTGACTTTGAATAAAATATAAATAATAATTAATAACGTGTGGGAAAATATTCTTAAAGATTCCAGAATTAGCGAGTTTCTGGCTGATATCAGCGTTACTACAATTCCCACTGCTGGTATTTATGTTACTAGATGCTAATATATTAATATTTTTTATTGAAAAAGCATCTACGGGAATGATGGTTTTATTGCTTATCTTTGAAATTATTACCGGTACTATCGCACTTAATAATATAGCTGCACATCACTTGAAGAGATTCTACATGGCACAGCTTTGTGGACGTGTTAATAAATTTAATTAACTGGCAACCGACTGACCAACTACAGCAAATAATCATTAACAGTACTCTAACGTAAGTTTAGTATTAATTTTTTTTTTTTTTTTATTAAAAAATCTCGATTATTATTTTTAACTAAACAAAGCGATTTTCACGAAAAAAATAATTCAAAGCAACCAAATTATCTTTCAAGCCTCTGCTCAAATTTTCCAGGGCATTCAGTGTGACGGCTTCTTGGTTCGGTAGATTGTTAGCGAGAGACAGCAACAATTGGCTCTTGGTCGGTGCCATTTTCGTTAATAACTGCAAGTTAAAGTTTATTATTAACGGTATAATCAAAGACAAGATAACTAGATAAGTACTCCGAACAATTGCTGAGCCATCCAGCCATGATAAGACTCCAATGATTCTTTGTAAGAATTTTTTATATTGGCAACAAGATCTTCAGCTTCGGTGCCCGTTTTCGGTGGAACTGCTCTTGCATTTTCTACTACTCTGTCGACAAACAAATGAATCATCTTCAGCCCTCTGGAGATTCAAAAAACACATTAATATTAATAATAGATTTAATTAATAAGTTGTAAATACCTAGTCAACCAAATCAAAGCATCAACAACGACTGTTTTTTTTCCAGATGCTCGCTCCGACAATAGTAAATCTTGTAGGGTTAAATGTTCTTCTTTATTAGCGATGTATTTAGTGAGAATTTTCTAAAAATATTTTTACTATTAATATATCAATCAGTATTGACTTTTATGACAGTTTTTAAAATTACCTCGATGTTCATTTGCATATCGTACTTGATCGGAGCAAAGACTTTACCAAATTTGTCTAAAATTTATTTATTAGTACAATATTTAGGTAATTATTTATTTAGACTGTGAACTATAACTAAATAAAATTTTGCTTTATTAAATAATAACTTTTGTTAAATTGCACTGTACTTTTTTTAACTATTGACATTTTTAAAGATATAAGCTCATCCCGATGTTACACTGATCAAGAGCTTTCATTTGAGTACCCACATGCATTTTTGATATATTTTTTTCATATATACATATATATAATTTATATAAATATATAAAAAATTGATGTGGGTACTCAAATGAAAGGTCTTGACGAGTGTAACATCGGGATGAGCTTATATCTTTAAAAATGCCAATAGTTCACAAGATACAAGGTCATTAATAATATAAATTAATTACCTAGAACTTGTACAACGGCTTGAGAGGCTGCCAAAAAATTAGTAGTGTTAATTTTACCGTTAACAATCTTTGGAAATTTAATAGCCAGTCCATAATTTAGTTCTAAACTGTGATGAATGTCCTCATTGTCGTCTGCTTTCCAGTCATTTTCATTTACAGCCGACATTTAGAAGTATTTAGAATTTTAATTTTATGATCAAAAACTATTAAGTAAGTTTAACTTTTTTAGTACTTTGTGTAACATTAATGAATAAAATTATTCTGTGATTTGACAGTAAGCTTTAATCTTTTGTTATTAATAACTTTCTCAACACACTTCAATCCAGTGGGTATTAAAAAAAAAAAAAAGAATAAATTTGTTTCTTTAAAGTATTTTTTTATTACCTAGTTCACAAATTATAATGCATTTTTTTAATAAAATATAATACTGTACATTGTCTTATATTTACAGACTAGTAGCTGCATTATAAAGTTAGTAAATAGTAAACGCACTGCGTTATTGCATATTAATGTATTAATAATAATTATTATTATTAAATATAGAGAAATAGCGTAGTGTAATAATCTTTTAATTATTTTTGATATTGCACTGAAATTCATAAAATTTTTGAGGTGATCTCAACATTGCAAAATATCTTAAATTTTTTTCATTAAAAATTTATTAGTACCGTTTAAGATTAAATCGAATCGATATACTATAATTGAAAAATCAATACATCAATTGCACTTATTTCTACCCGACTCTTTAAATAATTTTCGACTAAACCCTAGGCAACTCCGTGAGCCAATCACAAGTCGGATTTATAATAGCTACATAAAAAGACCTTCTATACCTTTGAGCTGCAGTATTAGTTCAACCTTGGGTTTGATGAAGTAGATACGAGTAAATTTGCAATATCGATACCATCTCACAAACTTTACACGACATTGATCCAATAATATAAACATTTATTTTATTATTATGACTAATAAAGGATCACCGTATTCAAATTTTTATCAATTAATTAATTAATTGAGTAATTAGTAAAATATTTATTGAGATTTACTGCCTGTTTCTTTTTTAATTCATCTGCAACGAGTTTAAGGCAATAATAGGCACGCATGGAGTTTATAATATGCAAGACTAGCGCGCATATTGTCTCACATTCCCTGCATTATAGTCGTATATAAATAAATAATTTAACAATATCGTTATAAATGTATATAATACTACCAATTAATAATTAGTACATACTAATAAGTAATATCATAAAGTCCTTATTACGTATACAAGAGTTATTAAATTGTTTCAGCATGGGTACCAAGAATTTAAATAATACACTCTATTACTTTAATAAAGAACTAGCAAAATAACTGTTGTATAAATTTTGAGAATTAATATTATTACTTTAATCTTAAAACTCTGGAGTGTGTAAGGAAGCGGTAATGTTTAGTACATTACCCACTGAATCTTCGGCAAAAATTACCAATGGAGCGTCGTAACAGGTGTGAGCTAGTGGCGAAGATAGTGGAGGAACAACGGCTTCTAGGGGTGGACGTGCGCCTGGAAATTGACGGTAGTTTATTACCATACCAGTAGACACGTCGCGTAATTCTATAACGCGAATTCCAAACGATGATCTTATAACATTTCTGTAAAGAAAAACAAACAATAATTATTTTTAATTTAGCGATAAAAATTTATGAAATTAAGGGGGTATACGCAGTTGCAAGGCTAAAAAAACATTTTATTTTTTTAGACACAGTTTTTGTAATAAGAATAAGAAAAATTTTGATTTTTGACAAAATTGCGTCTATTTGTAACAAATTTTTCTTTTTTGTTAAAAAATTTTCCAAATTGTTAAAAAAAAATAGTAATAAATTTTTTTAATCTTATTCCTTCATCTAATACCTGCATTAATCTATCCTTTAAAAGAATTGATAAATAAAAACAGTGTCTATAAAAAATTCATAAAAAAATGTTTTTTTAATCTTGCAATCGCGTACAACCCCTTAAAAACTCACCTCTTGGCAATATATTCAATTAGAGAATTATTGCGATAATAGTGAGAATTATTATCATTTATTATTTCATTCTCATTGTCTCCAGCAAACCATCGGTGATAAGCGAGAATAGTTGCACAAGAAGGCCCCCAAAATATTTTATCAGGCTGACAAAAGGAAGTTTCAAATACATATGTATTATGATGACTAAATTGCAAATCAATGTCCGGACTTGTTCGATTTATTGAATTTTCATTAACTACGAGATCCTTTGTTTTAGAATTATCTCCAAACAATTCCGGCAAAACGCATGGTCTTGGAGCTTTAGAATTTGCTAGGCTCGTAATAGACTGATTGTTATTATTGTTATTACTGTTATTAATAGTAACAGTGACACTTAGCGGTTTGCTGAGGGTTATTGTAGAGCGTTGGAGATCTCCGTTGCGAGGATTGCGATTGTTGTCTGTATTACCAGGGGATTTTTTGATGACAACACCTTTGCCGATGAAGACATGATCAACGTAGTTGAATCCACGGCCCATAATGCCCTGGCGGGTGTGACCCAAGTCGAAGGTGTGAGCAAGCTCATGAAGCACAGAGCCAAGAGTTGTTGCCAGACACCCGCCGTAAGTACCGCGATAATTACTGTCATCCATGAGGACGTCTGTGTCAATTATTGTCTTGTCTAAAAATTTAGCTAACACCTGATTAAGAGTTGTAGGCCAAGTGTGAAGACACGCAGATCCGAATAGTGCGAGACCACCACCACCAAGAGCAGCGTGCCCTTGGGTGCTTGCCAGAGTTGCCTCATGTGTTCTAGGACTCGGAGCTCCTCTGTACTTGGTACAAGATAAAAATGCCAAATATTTTCTGTCTCTAGAAGCGAGCGGACCTTTCATTATTTCGCGACCTACAAATTCCCAGAGCTCGTGCTGATTCATAGCTCTCGCGGTGTCCACATTGAGCATGCTGTGCATTACCAAGCACTCGGGCCCGTCGAGATCTCGCTCCAACTGAAATGTCTTCCGAGCGTGTCCGGCTTCTTGCAACTTTTCAGCGGTTAATGACTGTAATAAACGGGCTCCAAGCCCAATTCTGGTTGCTGCGCTCTCCGGAGAACAGTCCTCACTTGTTGGACCCTGAAAATATCCATCGTGACCTGCACAAATTACATAAATCGGCGTAACTCGAAGTCGAGACTTTTTCGGCTCGTGAATCAGTGTCAATTGTTTTTTAATTCCATTAGCAGTCTCCAGCTGGAGTTTATTTATTCCACGTGATAAATCCACCAGGATACGAAACTCTCCGGCAATAATGGGCCACTCTGTCACCAACCCGGATTTTAGATTGTGATGCTGCTGAGTACGGATGTTTATTTTAGTACAGCAAGATGGTGCTTGCCCTCGTATCAGGACCAAACTGTAGGTCACTGTTTCGCCATCCGATAAATTTTTAATGACAATACTTTCGGGATTTATATTTTTAGTTATGGTTGATTTTGTCGAGGTCGTTGTAGTTGTGGTCGTTGTCACCGCTACGTTTGTTTGAATCTGCGCAAAAGAATAATAAAATACAATAAGTATCACTTTATTACGGTTAAACCCAGAAAAAATAGATATAAAAGTTATTTCTAAAGAATATAACTTTTGTAATTATTTATTTTTATATATTGTTTAAAATCTGTGATTGAATAATATAATGTTCTATAATTATTACTGATGATTAACATAAAAAATATTTTTAAAAATAAAGAAAACATAATAAAATATGTTGGTTGGCTTATAAGCAATTGATAAAATAAAGGAAAAAAATAAGAAAGGGGATACTGACCGATGCGAAACTGTGGCATAAAAATAATAATAATTATTATTACGATAACAAATAAAAAATTTTTTACGATCGATCCATTATAATTTAATAAAAATAAAATGGAAAAAAAAAAAGAGCAGTAATAACCGATTAGAACGTAAAAAAATGAACCTAAAAAATATTCGACCAGAGAGTTCTAGAGTCAACTTTCACGAATCCAGCCAAGGTAACAGCTATTTTTTATTCCCCGAAGGCCCTTAGGTGAAGAATATTCGCTTTTAAATAAACATTGTTACCTAATACAAATAATTAAACAATCATTACAATTATTATTAACTCCAATTATTTTTTTTTACGATTTTTATAAAATTTATTACGTGTCGATAGACTCGTTTAAAATTTAATTGCACTGATAATTAAACAATTTTTAAAGCTTGATTGTGTTTTAATTTGTCAAAAAATAAGACTAATGACTTGTTACGTTAAGTAATATTTTTAAAAATATTGAACAAAGTAATATCTGGAAATTCTCGAGTTTTATTAGTTTATTAACAGGAGTTATCATTCGAGGTTTTTTTTATTGTCGTCGATATGTACTTGATTGAAGTTACCTAATAAAAAGTCATCAAAAAACAATTATAATGATCAATAAAAATTCTATTGACCTCGTACAGAGGCATTAAACTAAAAAATGGTGAAAAAAAAAAAAAAATTATGGGTACTGACCGGTTAAGAAACTCTAGTTTTGTAAAAAAAAAAAAAAAAAAACAATCATTATAACAATTTGCAGTATAATTGATCATAAAAATAATGTTTTAATCGTTTTATTATTTCGTTAGAAATAATTGTTAAAAAAAAAAATTGATCCAACAAGTGACTATTGATCCGAAATGTTTAATATAATAAAAATATAAACAATAAACTCAGATAAAAAGATTGTATTATTTATTATTATTATTATTATAAATGTGTGTTTTTTAAATCTTTTTTTCTAAACTTTCTCACTAGGTTCTTGACACGAATGTTTTCTCAAATATAAATTAAACAGATATTTATTAGTACGATACTGGGTTACAGAGAAAAAGCGAATTAATTAAATCTAGATGAAAGAGAGCTAGTGAGAGAAAAACAAATAGAATTTATTATCACTTACCATTTTATCGGGGGGGAAAAAAGGTTTGATACTGCGGATTAAATACTGAAGAGTAAAAATTAGTCCGCCGAGGTTTTTTTACACCAGTGAAAGGAATAAGGAAGGTTCTGATTTCAGATGTCGACTCTGCTCGTATCCTCGAAGGCTGCTCACTTAGATCTTCTACATTCTCCGCTGTATCGAAAAAACAAACAAAATTATGCAGTTACAATGCGTCACAATCTGTAGATTAATAGCGAACCAATAAAGATAAAAAATACTTACTAGATAAAATAAAAAAGCACCAGCTAGCAGTCCAGGTCTAGTGGCAATAGGTGTGTACTTTTTTAAAAATTAATCAATTTCTCGGTGCACCATCCTTCAGCTTGGTAGCTGGTTAGCCCGTCAATACTCGGCTGAAATGCTAAGTACTTACTCAATAGCCTTTTTATATATAATATTATAATTACTGTACTTTTATATTGTCCCTATATATCTGATATAGGTATATGTCAAGGTAATAGTTATCGACGGCGGTACTAGGAACAAAGTGAACACGAAGTACCAGAGTGTAACCAAGCAGTGTCGCCCTGGAGCGCGGTTGCGCCCTACGATTTCACAATTTTCGAGGGAATCCAGCTTAAAATCCAATTCGACCGCGTCGTCGCAAATAGCAGCAGGGTGGCGATTGACTTGGAAAACCTGGAAATGTCAGGGAATTTGAAATTTTTGGAATAGTCAGTGAAAAGTCAGGGAGTTTTGACTTGGGTCAGGGAAATTTCTAGTTTATTTTAAAAAATAAACTAGAATTTTGTAGAAATAATAAATTATTTTTATAGTATTCTAAAAATCGTACTGTAAATAATGTTTCGGTTGCCCAATTTCAAAACACAGTACTTATAAATTTTCTTAGCTCAAGAAAATATTGAAGAAGGTTGAAAATTTCTTGGATAAAGTCAAAGTTTCTTGAGCCAAAAAAATTTTTTCTTGCTCCAAAATAATTTTCGTTTTCCTTAAAATTTTTTTGGCGCAAGAAATTTGTTTTTTGTGTGTGCTAAATTGATGAAAAATTTGATTTATAAATAAAAAATACTTGAATATAAATATTTTTAAGAAAAAATACTTGAAATTAAGGTCTAAAAATTATAAAAAATGCAGCAATATTAAAAAAAAATTAGGTATAAAAATTTTGCAGTTTTAATATTAATTGATGTTATTTAATTTATATTTCATCTTTTTTGTGATCAATAATATTAAAAAAACTAAATGTATATGGATAATTAATTAATAATAAAAAAGAAGTATAATTTCTCAATGATTAATGATAATAATAATAATATCAATTATTTTGAAAAAATAATTTACAAACATTTAATCGAAAGAAACTGATGTTTTTTGAATAATTGAAAATCTGCAAAAAAGTATAACATAATTTATAACTCCAAATTTTTACTCAATTCTGGATATTAGATATGAAAATTCTAGCATAGAAAAGTTATTTTAAAAATAATTTGCAATTATAACGAATATTTGAATAACCATTATTTTTTTGTAGGTTCTGGAATTTTATTTTTGGCCAGGGAATTTTGAAATTAGAGTTCAGTCGTCACCCTGATTAGCAAATGATACCGGCATGTCCTTATTATGTGCGTTGGCGTATTTTATATTGGCTATCCATACTATCCGCCCAATAATACAGTTGCCTGAGAAAGAGAAACAAAGGGTTAGTAAATAACAGTAACTAACAGAAACAGAACAGACTTGAGTTTCTGTCTAGTGTGTTATGTCTACTAACCATTATCTCGAGTAGAGACAACCTAACCGGCAGTATAACTTTTAAATCCTGGCAGCAGCCTATTTTATTTTGTTTGCCGGTTAAATATTCAGCATAATAAAAATGAAAAAAAGCCAAGAAATTATTTTATCTCGGCATTGTATTCCAGTGAGTAACAGAGAGACAACGTCGATGCTTTGTGTTGTTTTAAATCTTGATTTCTTTTTCAGAACAAAATGAAAGGTAATAAAATACCTACGAAGAAATAATAAATAAATAAATAAATAAAATTAGCTGTTGATGCTGATGAAGATGAAGATTATGATGATGATGATGATGATGATGATGATGATGATGATGATGATGGGAGGATGAAAAAGCAATAAAAAATGGTCAATATTCTAGAGTAAATAATATTCAGTGAAAATAATAAATTTTCTCCTGTTTGCAGGTAAAAAATAGTGTACGCGGATACATGCTGTATCTTCTATCTAGTGTGTAGGCATGCTGTTGCTGTCTAATAGTGGCTGCTGGTGAAGTATATAAGTGTATATAGAGATAGAGAGGCGGCTCTCAAAGAAAAGTCGCGCGGTGCGGCGCGATGCACTTGTTAATTGCCCGCGGAACGCAATATCTCGTATATATCGCGCACGTTGAGGTTAGCGACCGTGAAAGTACTCCTTGTGTGCAAGTAGGACATTGATTTTTAAAAATTGTTGCAACGATTGCGTGCGCCCACACTATTGACCTATATTTTCTCAACCGAGGTCGATGCACTCTATCCACCAACTACACCAACACCCATTACTCGTGTTTATATTGTCTTTTTTTGCTTATTTTTAATCTCAAACATTTACTTTTTACACCGGTAATTGTTGTTGTTGTTGTTGTTATTATCATTGTACTGCTTCTGCTGATGGTAATCCTAAAAGATACTCTCTTGCTCTTGTTATTATCCATCATGCCCATACACCGATAATGAAAGTTATACATATATAAATTTTTAAAAATAATAATAAATAAAGTTATTTTTTTCCACCCAATTTTAGCAGTTATTATACATCGTTATAAATACATACATTTGTATCTGCATTATTTGGAGATAAAGTTTCAGAAATATATTATTAAAGAGACATTATAATAAAAAGAGTGGGAGAAAGTGGGTAAAAGTATCATATGAGCCAAAGAAGAAAAGGTATTCTCTATACGCACACATATTTCTGTATATAAGGAAGCAAAATACTTAAACATTTTCGATGCTTATTTTATATTTTAATTTTCGTTACGTTAATTATCAATTGTATAGAAAAAAATTTAACCAGCTAGTTTTTAATTAAACATTTATTACTACTCAGCAGATATTAATTTTTATATAATTATAAAAATTTCAATTAAACAATTAAAAAAAAAAATTTTTAAAATTATATAAGTGCAATTTTTTAGAAATACCTTTTTAGTTGTAATTTAATTAAAAAAAAAAAAAAATCAAAAATTTTCAGACGTCTGCTAACTTCAGTGTCATAAAAGTTACTATTTTTTTTTTTTGTTTTTTATCCAGTGAAATTATTTCTATAACTAATAAAGTTAAATTTAAATTTATAACAAAATTGTTTAATAATGCTATTGAAAAAATAATTACTTGATTAATATTATCTCAATACATAAATAATTACATCACTTAAATAATCACACTGCTAGACGGCTACGAGCGATATCTATTATTTTATTTTTTTATTTATTAATTTTACATAGATATATTTCCGATTAAATATTCCAATAATTATCAATAATAATTTTTTTTAGAGTTTTTTCAATATACAAAAGTTCCATTACAGTAATGATTTGCGACGTCACACTAAACAAAGCTGGCAATGGGTAGTATAGTGGGAAATAACCATGTTGGTATCCAAGCGTTTCTAAATGAAATGTATGCTCAGGTATAATTTTTTTTTTTTTTAATATTAATATTTATATATTATTATTATGGTTATTATATATTACATTTCAAAGTGTTATATGTAAATGTGGATATATATTTATATAAATATATTTACAGGGCGGAAGCGCGACACAGTAATATATACGATACGCAAAGTGAAAGCAGGAGCACCAGCAGCAAGAGAAGAGAGCAGAGAGCGGCGAATGATTTTGGTTCTCTTGTATGTATAAGAATATATGTATATGATCAAGCGC